TGAGTTTAAGGTTGAATCAAGTTGTACTTAGTGACCTTTCGTGAAGTATAACCAAATCGCCCTTTTAAATCTTTTAATAACTTACACGGCATCACATAAAACACGTGTCAATAACTAAAGATTGGCTGAATTTGAAATTAGACACGTTAATAAATACGCGTCAGTTTCATGAAACTACACTGGTCATCAAAAAAATCGACCCACCCACTTTTTGTTTAATATTTATCGATTGTTTCACAGATAAGCCGTTTCACACGTTTGTTTATTGTTTTAAGGGTCGGATATGATGTTTGACATCTTGTTTGTCATAAATCTTGTTGCTCTTGAAGGTACTTAACATTTTTTTTGCAGAAACACTGTTAAGTGCTGAATAAACGGTTTTACGTCGGAACAAATTCGATCCGTTCTTTCAATTCCAAGCTGACTTTTGTAGGGATTTCTTGTTAATAACGTTGAGTTTATTTACTGAGAGTGTAGTTTTGATTACTTTGTTTAAAAATAAAGGACACTACTGAAGCTGAGGCGGCCCAAGTTGTGGCTTTGCTGCAACAAGGCTTAAGTCAACGTGTCGTGGCCAGGAGGTTAAATTTGAGCCGTTCTGCAGTGCGGCGAGTTTACCAAAGGTTTCTGGAGACTGGGCAGTATCGAAGAAGATCTGGATCTGGAAGACATAGGGTGACAAATCAAAGAGATGATCGCTTTATAGTGGTATCAGCCCTTCGAAATCGACATCTGTCTGGCGTTGATCTTCAGCGACGCTTACGTGAAGTACGGGGTGTGGCTATAAGTGACAGTACAGTAAGAAGGAGACTTCGTGAACAGGATTTAAGACCACACAAGCCAGCAACAGGACCACAATTGACTACAGCTCATCGTCAAGCCAGACTTCAATTTGCGCGTGATCACGTTAACTGGACTATAGGGCAATGGGAGTCAGTTCTGTTTTGTGATGAAAGTCGAATGACTTTATATGGTTCTGATGGACGTCGTAATGTCATGCGACGCCCAGGTGAACGTTATACCCAGTGTTGTATAAAAGAAACTGTAAGTTATGGTGGGGGCTCTGTAATGTTTTGGCTGGGATATCTTTGACTGGACGCACAAATTTAGTTTTTATACGAAGAGGTGCTTTAACTGCTGCACGTTACATTACAGAGATCCTAGAAGACCATGTGTTGGCATATGCTGGCTAAATTGGAGAGACTTTTGAATTAATGCATGACAATGCACGACCACACGTAGCGCGCATTACGACTGACTACCTTGAAGAGGTCGGCATTCGGGTTATGTCGTGGCCAGCAAGAAGCCCTGATCTAAACCCTATAGAGCACATATGGGACACTCTAAAACAAAAGGTTAGAGCCCGTAATCCAGTCCCCACAACTTTAGAAGACCTGGAAAACGCTATCAGGGAAGAATGGAACCGAATCCCTCAAGAGACCATCAAAATATTGATAAGATCACTAAAACGGCGAATGCAGGCCGTCATTCGAGCAAGAGGAGGAAATACGCAATATTGAATTGCAATAATTGTATACAAAAACATTAATTTTAAAAAAACTAGCGCGTATTTAAAATTAACCAAAAAATCGCGAAACGTTATGACTTTGCATTTTTTGCCAAAAACATTGTCAGGAAATCATTTTGATGTGTAATTTGTGATTAAATTCGTGTAATTAGACAAGTTAAATAAAACCATTTCAGTTCTGAAACATTTTGTTTGGTTTTGCTTAAGAAAAACGTGATTTACGGTGAAAACGCAGGTGGGCCGATTTTTCTGATGACCAGTGTATAAAGACAGAACGGATTGGACTGAAACCGTGTTAAATTTTATGCATTACGATGTTTTCGCGTTTCAAACGATTTGAGCGAGTGTTGGGGTCAACAAACTATGCATGGACGTTACCAAAAACGAGAACATACCGGGGAGAATTGATCCGGAACTACGGAAGGGTATTGGGTCGGTTACCGGAGCCTGAACTAATTCATGCGATGCTGTGGACCAGGTTTTGTGAAGGGCTTTATCGCATTCATAATTTAGCCTAATCCGTTATGGACGGATCCCGGAACATTTTTAATGTTTCAAATGTTTCCCTGCTACGAATTTTTAATGTGAATGCTCGTGAAAGCGGGTGAACGAGTGCTTTTGTTACGGTTTTATAAAAAAAAGTTTATAATATACAAAATATTATGAAATGCAAATTCTAAACAACCATAATAAAATTATTGCCTGGAATTTTTTGGACATTAGTGAAACAGTCAGCAACCAGTCACGACTATCCCTACATGACATGACTAATTCGCGACCCCAAGCTGGGCGGTCGCCAAAAATCTGCTGTGAATATGTGTTTTCCAAATGTGGTATTAACATTAGACATGCTACCAGCATTTATTGTCTTGCGAACATAGACAGTCGAAATGCTCTAGAAATAAAACATTTTCAATTTGAACAATCAAATTATTCGGCTGAACACTTCATCCGGACAGCGGGAACGACTGCGCGAATCCTACGTACTAACGATTATGACGTGCTCACGTGCGGTTATTGGAAATATCCCTTCCTACACATTCGGATCAAATATAGGCTAAGCATCTTAACTGTAATCGGAAACTAGATAAAATCCAAGGCCAAGAAGTTCTTAGATCTATTTGTGCCCAGGTTTGGCTAGAGATAGAATTCTGACACATTTTTTATTATATTTTTTAGTGCTTCATACGCAAAACGTACTTATATTTACGGAATTAATTTATAAGTCCACCTTTAATAATAATATCAACGGAACGGACATAAGGTATATGATGAAACTCACATGACTTTAGTTTGTACCACTGGTCCCTGATCCCATAGTAAACTTTATCAGTCACATTCAGCACTGCTTTCGACATTATTGACACACTGCACTTTACAGATTTTCAATAACACATAAAAGTTATTTGTCTTTCATGACTCATACCTGAATCATGCTCAGAATTTTTATTCCCATGTTTTAAAACACTACAAAGTTCTAAATAAGACAAAATCGCCGATATTCATGTTACCTAATTGATGTTTTAAAAAACTTATTGGTTACTTTATTACGTTTTCTAATTTCTTTTTCTATTTTTAGAAACACTATTGTCAGTATTCAGTAAAACACTGTTCTTCAGCCAAATGTTGATCACAACTGATTGATAACATGTTCAAAGCTGTCAATACTGATAACAATGATAAATTTAATAATCTATGTGGTACAGACCATGTACCTGATAGCGATGATTAAGGTCTATTGACATTCAAACATCAATCATTGTTCAAACTTGGGTTCAAAATGTTAAGTCAATTCCGAATACAGATAAAAAATATTTGTCTTTGATCTTTACACAAATTACATCAAAAGAAAAGGTTCGAAATTCGTAAAAAAGCAATCCTAGGGTTTGCCTTAAATAGAATATTGCAGACCTAGGTATATGTAAATAATTTAGGATGATTAGAAAATCTAGTTTTATATTGTACATTATTATGTACTTTATCCCTAACATTAGATTATTACACAAACGTGTTATTATTGTAGACGCAAATGTTTATTATATTGATAGTGCTGCAAATAGGAATAATCCAGTTTGGCTAATCACTTACATCTCAACTGGATGGAACTGGATAGAAACCTATACTCCGTCTGTTTAGGTAGTTAACTATTTGTAAACAAACCATAAAAAGAGTTCTTTATAGTTGACATTTCCATGATTCAAAATACTTCATAAGAAAATAAACTTGTTTCCCTTTTTACGACAGTTTTCTCTATTAAATGTTATGTTTCTGTTCCTTTTCACTTATTTCTTAGTAAATATTATATATATATCTGCTTGAGGATATTAATTTAATAACATTTATTAAATAATATAATATTTCAATACAATAGACACCATAAAGAGTCTAAAATCCCAGGTATCCAAAACCCTTCTTTAAGAACGAAGCAAAATAATGTTGTCAAATTAAAGAGTACAACTAAGATGTAGCGCGACAATGAAAGTAGCGTGTATTACGTTTAGTCGGTTAATCAGGCGCCATTGACAGCTCTCTCGTCGTTTGCGCTCGCGTTCCTATTTTGTTGAATTTATCTTGTTTCTTTGTTTTGTTTTTGTTATTAAGTTATTTAAGTTTAGGTATACATCGTTTGTAATTAATGTGTTCAAATATATTGAAGAAACTTGGTCCAAAGACACATATCCGTACAAGAAAGAAATCCGTACATCAGATTCAAAATAGTTTCTATTTAAGCATGATAATGAAATAGACCCATAGGCTAGGCTCTTGTACCATTTAGGCATTTGTGCTACTATGTGTGTGTGTCACAATTGAACGATTTTAAAGTGAATTTAGTTTAAATTAAAACACAAGAAATATTTGAAGTAACAGAAGGTAAAGTATCTCTGTGTCACGTGGTTTCTTTTGTTTACCTTTAGTTAATTACCTAAACAGATGGACTATAGATAACATTAGGCACTTGGACATATCGACATCCTACTCAATTTTATTATGTACACGAATGCGCGATATTTTTCTAATTTCCTTGAGAATAATACCTACGTAAATTAATTTTTTTATAAAGTTTAGTACCTAAAATTAGTTTTAATTTTTTTTCTAATCGTTAGATTCGCGTGCAAAACAAGCAACTAACTACAAAAGTGCAGGTGTTAAGAAACAACAGATAGAAGCTTTAAAATTACGTATTTAGGGCAAGCTTAGAGCTTTTTGCTGTATATTTTATGCATGGGTTAGTGTTTAGGGAGCTTTATGAGTCATTCAAATGCGTCACATAACAGATTTAGCATCATAATAACAGTTAATCGATCTCCTACGATCATACATAGGTGTATACATAACAGTTAATGCTCAAAACAAGGTGAAATAAATTAAAACAAAATGTTAAATGAATCACAAAATGTATTGTTAATAAAACAAAAGCGTACACATAATCTTGCGGCTACTGTGCATATAAAAAATATAGCTTCTCGTTTACTTGTGACGTTCGAGCCGTAATTGTTGATGCTGGTGTTTGCGAAATCATCACTGAACCTTTTATAACCGTCGGACGGCGAAGACGGGCTCCTCAAAGAAGCCATTTTTCAATACTGGAATTTTTGACATTTGCCTAATTTGACATTGATTGTTGTTGCGTTCACTCATTCACTGCGTTCATCAGCGCTTATAATACATGAGACCATAGACATTCTGCAAACGGAATCAATCTAAGTCCGTACCATTGAAGTATAAAACCAACATTGTTATTTAATTTTCTTACTTCTTCTACGTGATATATATGCTATCAAATGCATATTTATTCTCCAAGAATATAGTATAATAATTAAAAGCATTTAAAAAATGTTATAAGTAAAGTAATATAAAAGTTAAAAAAAAACCATTTTGAAGATATGGTAATTGTTAACATCGTAATAAGTTGTGATGTAGAGTAAATACTAAAAAAATAAAAAACTTTTCTTTTGGTCTATTTTACTTTAAAATACTCAAAAATAAAATAGGTCGTTCAGAAGTGTAACAGTCAAAAAGCCAATAATCCGAATACTTGGCAAAGCAGCCATAGACAAAATCCTTTGTGACAATTTCTTTTTTCTTTGATCCCGGTTGGAATGTGAGTTGATGTTGTTTTCGATGAAAATAAATCCAAAGGAATAGTTTAATATTTAACTCCTTTTCTCCATTACCTGTAAGAATTACGAAAAGTATCCTGCAAACAAGTGATTATGTGTTATATTTTGGTTCCACCCTATTTCAACATCTTAGAAATTTGCATTGAAAGTTTTGACGTTCGTCAAGTGATAGTGAATAAACAGTGAAGAAATAGGATTTCGTGTGTAAATGTAACATATTCGCAGTGTTAATGCTTAAAAGTAGTGTCTAAATCACTTGTTTGTAAGGAGAAGTGTGAAAACATAGATAACCTCAAAGTTGAAGTCAGGTGGTGAGTTTGTTGTTAAGGTTGTGTTTCTGTTTGTGCAGATTCTAAATGGCTCCACCACAGCCTAAGGCGGCGGCCAAGCCCGCCGCAGCGCCCGCAGGCGGCGTAGCCAAGGCCAAAGTTGGCAAATCAAGGAATTACGACCTGGGAAATGGAGTAGTTCGCTTCTCCAAGACAAGGATGTTCCACAAGAAGGTAAGCTGGTATTAACATGCTAACAGTGTAAGCAAGCATCTCATTGAAGTTATAAATAGTTAAGTAAAGAATAATGCTTCATGTCAACAAGTGTGTTGCCCATGTGCAACGAAAAGTTCATAATAAACTCTTTATGCTATCTTAAAATCCAAGCTGACGTCTTCACGTGTCAACATGCTTATCAGCAGTCTCTTAGGTAGTTCTAGCTCCATAAAACAACAATGCAAGTTGTGCAATTGTATATTATCCTGTTTGGTTTCTTATAAGGTTATGTTATCATCAATATTGATAGGAAATCCGTGGAAATTATAATATAAACCTTGAAAATAATGTGCCACGAAAGAATCCATTGACAGAACCAACAAAAAAAACTTAATTCTTGTTGACTTGTAACTTTTAACAGAAACTATTTCAAATCTATTTTTTTCATTTTCAGGCTAAGTACAGGTTTGTGGGCAAAAAGAACCCCAAACCAGAGAAGCCTAAGAAGCCCTCCGTAGCTGTCAAGCAGATCGGTGGTGAGAAGAACGGAGGAACCCGTACCGTGCTCCTGCGCCGCAGAAAGTCCTTCTACCCCACTCAGGACAAGTAAGTTTACTGTTTACCATTTAACCTCATTTTATTATAAGCAAATGTGAAATACCTTGATCAGATTGTTTCTTACAGAAGTTTGCACGTGCAAACTATTGCTAAGGCTAACTGCTATGCCTACAGCAGTTGTGCTATCGAAATTTGATCTTATTCCACTGAATTTAGATTGATATTGGTTATTATTTTCAGCCTAAAGTTTAAAGGGTACTGTTTTAGTTGATGTGGGATTTGGAGTGTTGTCTCACCTTAGAATTAGTTTTATTTTTGTATATGTGGGACTTGATGTGTCATGGAATAATATTGTTCCAGATAAAGTATTGTTATCAGGTGTGAACTCAAAGCTAAAATAGAGCAAAGAATAATTTTTAAAAAGCCTTTGTAATAAGCTATATACCTACCCTTTTTTTAATAATGTCTACCTTTTCATTGAGTACTAATTAAATATTTGTTATGTGAGCAAACAAATTAGTTCTCTTTGTTAAAATATAAATACACAAATATATTTAAACTCTAGTGTGATAAATATTTTAATTTATGAACGCTTATGATTTATCTTGCCAAGAAAAAAACATTATTCTCATGTTTTTATTAATTAGCACCTTGTCTGTTTATTAACTTTTTGAAGAAATGAATGTATTTGACACAATATTTGAGCAGTTTTCCAGCAACTATTCCTTAAAATATAAATTCCTTCTTTCTCTTCTTCCTCTTTCTTTCTTAAATAGAAAAATATCTTAGCCAGAAAATTAGGTACAGCATAAAGTTGTAATAACTAATGACATTGTCTTCTGTCTCCAGGATCCGCACTCGTCCCCACCACAAGACCTTCAGCAAGCACGTCCGCAGGACAAGGCCGACCCTCACCCCTGGCACAGTCTGCATCCTGCTCGCCGGCCGTCACGCCGGCAAGCGCGTCGTGCTTGTAGGAATCCTGCCCAGCGGTCTGTTGCTCGTCACTGGACCCTTCGCTGTAAGCATACTTTCTATTTTCTCCCATCTTAGTCAATGCTGAGAATTTGTTTGTCTTTAGAATATGGAAGTTTGGAATTGTTTATTATATCTTATATTAGATAAGAATATGGCACATGGTACAAATGAAATTGAAGGACCATAATTATGAACTACCAATCTTGAAACAGAAATCATTTTGTTTCATTTAGGGATCAAGGTTTACAATTTAACTAAAGTGTGATTACCTACATTCTTATAATTAACAGGTCATTGTAAATCTTCAGAATATACAGGTCATAAAAAGAGCTGAAAGCAAATCTTTACATAAAAATAATGAAGTATGTCAAAGCCTTGTTCAATTAATTCTGAATTAGGCACTTTTGAAACATTAAATTGAATGGGCAGAGACACTAGGTGCTTGTTCCAAAATGTAGTTTCGAAATTGAAAAGAACGAGCACAAACTTCATTGTTACTCTTTTCAAAATGAATGTGAACTATCAATAGATCTGAGTTACCAATGTTCTTAACTCCTTTTTTCAGTTCAACTCGTGCCCACTCAGGCGCATTCCCCAGCGCTATGTGATCGGCACCTCCACCAAGCTGGACCTCGGAGACTTCAAGCTCCCTGAACACCTGAACGACGAGTACTTCAAGAAGAACAAGAAGAGCGTCAAACGCAGCGTGAAGCGCAAGCAAGGAGAGGACATCTTTGCCTCCAAGAAAGAGGTAACACAGAGTTCTTAACTCTTGTACTCATTTTTTCTCAAATTTGTAAATAAGGGCTGCTCAACTCTATCTTTGATTTAAGCCTCGTAATCAATCGACTTGTGACTAAAATGCTATACAGATTTTGGTCAATTTTGACCCCCTCCTGGCTTGTTCTCTGCTTACTATAACTTCCAAAAACCAATATAAGTAAGAATAAGTTCTCAGATTAAACATATTACAAATGGATAACTAACGATTAACATTTTGTTTGCAGAAATACGTTCCATCAGAACAGCGCAAGACTGACCAGAAATCGGTCGACGAGGCTGTAGTGAAGGCGATAGGCAAGCGCTCCGACAAGAAGTTGCTGCGAGGCTACCTCAAGTCGTCGTTCGGCCTCCGCTCGAGCCAGTACCCCCACAGGATGCGATTCTAGATATAAGACACAATAAACATCTGTGACTAACTACTGACCTTTTATTTATTACATTGCTGCTATAATACCTATTATGATCTAATGTTGATTATTATATTAGGCTGACATAATAGACGTTTCATTTTCTGAAGTTAATGCTCTCTTAAATAATGGATCGTAAAATATTTTTGGTCTTAACTCGAGAACTGCTGAAAATAAAATTTTTGGGTGTGGGTTTGTCAAGTACCTACCTTAAGGACGCGTTTACGAATCTAACAAAAATAAGCAGTTTTTCGGTGGTTTTTGCGGCAAAATAATATAGAATCAAAATGTAACTAAAAATGACCACAGATAGATTACTTCTTAATCTTCAAATGGTAGTAGTTTTTTATTTGATAATTTTGGTTTATAATATTGTAAAAAATAATTTCTGTTGCCTCTTCACACAAAATTGACGAAATCGTGCTGACTTGAGGATCATTTTTCTTTTATTTAATAACACAAATATAATTATTTAAAAATATTTTACGTAAGCAGATATGTCCAACTCAAAAAGGTAGAAAAAAAATCTATCAAAATGTTACAAATAGGCTGAAAACAAAAGTAAAATCGAATCTTATTTTTAGACATTATTAGCCGTAACGAAAGATACTTATTGGATTGAAATAAGGGTTATTTTCCTGGTCACTAGACTTGATTTATTGCACAAAAATTTGTAATGAAATTTTAGTTTGCGCTCGGGCGCCGTCGTGAGTGGACACTGTGTCGCTTGTAAGCAGCTCCTCGTTTACGAAAATATCGCTGTACGAACACAAAATATTTGCCCTACCAAACTTGATACTTCACGCATTCTGCACCGACTACAGACAACCAAGGTAAGATTTTATACACAGTTTCATATACTTATAGGAATATAGATTTCATATTTAGTTTTGGACTTGATGGAGTGACCTGCAGGTGTACTTCGAAGACTGCTACTGGAACTAATAGACGAGTGGAGCTAGGTGTGCCGAGTTTGGGCTCGTTTTGTTAGTTATGTTGAGACCTTACCTCCGGACTTGATGGAGTGACCTGCAGGTGTACTTCGAAGACTGCTACTGGAACTAATAGACGAGTGGAGCTAGTTGTGCCGAGTTTGGGCTCGTTTTGTTAGTTATGTTGAGACCTTACCTCCGGACTTGATGGAGTGACCTGCAGGTGTACTTCGAAGACTGCTACTGGAACTAATAGACGAGTGGAGCTAGGTGTGCCGAGTTTGGGCTCGTTTTGTTAGTTATGTTGAGACCTTACCTCCGGACTTGATGGAGTGACCTGCAGGTGTACTTCGAAGACTGCTACTGGAACTAATAGACGAGTGGAGCTAGGTGTGCCGAGTTTGGGCTCGTTTTGTTAGTTATGTTGAGACCTTACCTCCGGACTTGATGGAGTGACCTGCAGGTGTACTTCGAAGACTGCTACTGGAACTAATAGACGAGTGGAGCTAGGTGTGCCGAGTTTGGGCTCGTTTTGTTAGTTATGTTGAGACCTTACCTCCGGACTTGATGGAGTGACCTGCAGGTGTACTTCGAAGACTGCTACTGGAACTAATAGACGAGTGGAGCTAGGTGTGCCGAGTTTGGGCTCGTTTTGTTAGTTATGTTGAGACCTTACCTCCGGACTTGATGGAGTGACCTGCAGGTGTACTTCGAAGACTGCTACTGGAACTAATAGACGAGTGGAGCTAGGTGTGCCGAGTTTGGGCTCGTTTTGTTAGTTATGTTGAGACCTTACCTCCGGACTTGATGGAGTGACCTGCAGGTGTACTTCGAAGACTGCTACTGGAACTAATAGACGAGTGGAGCTAGGTGTGCCGAGTTTGGGCTCGTTTTGTTAGTTATGTTGAGACCTTACCTCCGGACTTGATGGAGTGACCTGCAGGTGTACTTCGAAGACTGCTACTGGAACTAATAGACGAGTGGAGCTAGGTGTGCCGAGTTTGGGCTCGTTTTGTTAGTTATGTTGAGACCTTACCTCCGGACTTGATGGAGTGACCTGCAGGTGTACTTCGAAGACTGCTACTGGAACTAATAGACGAGTGGAGCTAGGTGTGCCGAGTTTGGGCTCGTTTTGTTAGTTATGTTGAGACCTTACCTCCGGACTTGATGGAGTGACCTGCAGGTGTACTTCGAAGACTGCTACTGGAACTAATAGACGAGTGGAGCTAGGTGGCCGAGTTTGGGCTCGTTTTGTTAGTTATGTTGAGACCTTACCTCCGGACTTGATGGAGTGACCTGCAGGTGTACTTCGAAGACTGCTACTGGAACTAATGACGAGTGGACTAGGTGTGCCGAGTTTGGGCTCGTTTTGTTAGTTATGTTGAGACCTTACCTCCGGACTTGATGGAGTGACCTACAGGTGTACTTCGAAGACTGCTACTGGAACTAATAGACGAGTATATATTCTGCTATTTCAATATTTTTTTTTTTTTAGATGCCAAAGCCTAAGACGTTCGGGAAAAGCTCGCGGAAGAAAGTTTACGCCTGTAGACGTAACTTAGAAAAAAGATTTCGGTTAGTACTTATATGATTATTAAAAATACATAAATGATTGAAATTATTTAATGTCATAAGATCTTTTTTCTTATTTTTTTCACAGGCAAAACGATGACGGTAGTCGTGATGATACATCCGAAGTGCGTCCGGAAAGAACCGACCAACAAAGTTGTAGTACTTCTGATAAAAACAGTATGGAAATATCTTACGTAAGTTTTTTTAATGAATTTTAAATTACTGATATATGATTTGTTTAAAAAATAACAAGTAATTTTTTTCTATTTTGTTTATAGGAAACGAACTATGAGGAAACAGAACCGTTCCAGGTTTCAGGAAGAAGAGTTGTAGAAATAGGTTATTTTATGAAACAGCTTCAAGAAATCAGTAACCATAATTCCATGTTTAGTTGTAATTTAGGTTGATTTTTATATACATAGAAGATTAATGTTTCAGTATACTGGCACTTTAAAAGTATTTGTGTACCAAATAAACGTATTTTGTAGTTTTGGGAACCCACTTTCATTTGATACTAAAACAAAATTATACATATATAGGGTGATGGGTAATTAATGTCAGCTGCTCAGTACATTAGGCAAATATAAATGTACTGAACAGCTGATTTTTTTTTCGCGATTTCAAGTTTGTTCCCATAGAAAAAGTTGTTTGTTATCATGAGCACAATCACGTGTTTAAGTATTGTACACTAATTACCCATCACCCTATATAATAGGTAGGTACCTAAAAAATTTTACAAGAAAAAAAAACTACTTGAAAAGTTATTTTTCACTGTGTAGTTGTTTTTTTAGGGGTTGTCATTAGATAATTTTTCCGCCATAAAAAACGGTCACTCCAAGTAAGAGGCAAACTCTCAACATAACTAACAAAACGAGCCCAAACTCGGCACACCTAGCTCCACTCGTCTATTAGTTCCAGTAGCAGTCTTCGAAGTACACCTGCAGGTCACTCCATCAAGTCCGGAGGTAAGGTCTCAACATAACTAACAAAACGAGCCCAAACTCGGCACACCTAGCTCCACTCGTCTATTAGTTCCAGTAGCAGTCTTCGAAGTACACCTGCAGGTCACTCCATCAAGTCCGGAGGTAAGGTCTCAACATAACTAACAAAACGAGCCCAAACTCGGCACACCTAGCTCCACTCGTCTATTAGTTCCAGTAGCAGTCTTCGAAGTACACCTGCAGGTCACTCCATCAAGTCCGGAGGTAAGGTCTCAACATAACTAACAAAACGAGCCCAAACTCGGCACACCTAGCTCCACTCGTCTATTAGTTCCAGTAGCAGTCTTCGAAGTACACCTGCAGGTCACTCCATCAAGTCCGGAGGTAAGGTCTCAACATAACTAACAAAACGAGCTCAAACTAGAAAAAAAAAACTGTCCATCCATGAAATCAATGAAATTAGGTTAATGGTACCTATATGTACCATTATGATTACTAATGAAAATGGTTACAAAAGTATACATATAATATACTTTTGTAACCATTTCACGTTACAAACCAAATCAAAGTTAACTTAAAAAAAACATTGCAAAATTAAATAAAAATAACTCAAGTATCAAGTCGTGTCAGTTTACACATAATTTCGCCGCTTCGCGCATTTCGCTGTGTGTGTGTGACATGCACGTGTAGTAGTAAGACTCAATACCTAAAATTGAAGCGCGTCAATTCGTAAACGCGTCCTTAAGGTTTTAGTGATAAAAAAATGAAGAAAGATGTGGGAATAAATAGCATTCAGAAATAAACAAATACTGTTACATGATGTAATTGTTTATTGGTTTCACTTGTATTTGTTGGCGGGTTGGTGTATGCGCGGCCGCGCCGATACTGCGTTCCGCGAGCGCTGCCCGTGACGCTCGCGCCATTCAGCCTCCAGTCGCGCATAAACGCCACCTACAAAAAATATTATATGAAGAACTCGATATAAAACAAGTTTTAAATCGTACCTCAAGCAATATAGCATTGTGTTCTGTGGATTCTGAATGGTCCTATTATCCTGTAGGCTGTAGATCAGAACCTACCGCCATAGAATCAAAGCGTGAGCTTATGGGATCTTAGTCATGTTACATAATTTATAACTGAGAGTTATAAAAGTACAAGTAAGGTTCCCAAAAATAACTGATCAGCAAAATGTATTTTTCTTACCAGGTGGCATTTTAGATTTAGTCTGCTGATGCAGTGCAGCAGTCCTCGCGAGCGCAGCACGCATCTGTCTAGCGGCGCGCTCCTCAAACCTTCGCTGACCATCCTGGTTGCTGCGCGCTGACAGACATGAGATCCACTGCCGACCCACAACACGAGTCCGCCTGAATAAACAATCAGTCGAATTGATCATCATCAACATACCGTGACAAGTACTGCAGGACATATCCCAATAATACATTACGGAAGTCTATTTTTATCTCTTCCTTTTGAAAAGCAATCCATTCTGTTGATATTATTCCACCTAGTTGGAGACCCCGCGTTACGCCTGATAAAAAAAACGTAGCTCACAGTTTCCATGGTAAGAATTCAGAAACGTCTAGTTTTACAATTTCAGGCTCAAAAAGTGAGGAGTTTGGTCCTTACAAGTCACAACAATAAGAGTGAGTAAGGACTTAACTCCCATGTATTTGGCCAGGTTGCGTATTATTTATACTCACTTGGTAACGGGATGTGACCGGGAGTGCGAATGTTTCCTGACGGTGCGATGCTGTGGGCGGCGGGGCGCGCATTCCTCGTCGCTAGGCGCGCTAGCCGAGCTCTGCTCGCTGTCATCCGACGAGCTCGACTGCTCGCCGCCTGACTCCCCCGCCGAATCTCCACCTCCCGGGGCGCCTTTCTTTGTATACCACCGACATTTGTTACTTATGTCCAGTTTGAGGTCGTAAACAGCGCGACTTTAAACCAATGCCGTAATTTTGTGGAAAAAATATATTTTGAATTTTGTAACTTATTAGGGCAATAAGTATTTGCTACTATGTAATATAGATAAGTACTAAGTCGCACTGTTTACGGCCTAACCCGATTTATCATTCGCTTTGATTAGTACTCAAATGGTTTTAAATCTGACGTTAAAAAATTAAGAAGGCAAAGTAAAAGCGGGTAAGGATAACCAATAATTTTAAATGGGTTTATTATATAGGTTCTCCTCATCCTACGTAAAAATAAATAGGCAGCTGCCACAAAACAAGAAATAGATTAAATTCTAATACTGATACTAGATAAGTACTATACACTACACTAAACTATAACTCAAATGTACATAAAGATAAAACAAACGTAAATAGTCTATACATTACAAAATGTCTATTTACTTATACAAAAGTAGGTAGGTACAATAGTCTACAATCTATCCACTTACTGATCCAAGTTAACTACACTACTCACAGTACTTAATTTATTGTACAGTACTAAAACTATACTACAGCCCAATCATTCACTTCTAGTACCTACATGACTAGCTACTTAGGAAATCACCATACAGTATCAACCTTCGTTATAGGAAGGTGTCATGGCCGCCGTCGTACTGGCTCTAGTCCTTCATCCTTACCTTGGTCCTTTGGGTATCTTCCCTGGTCTCCTTCGCGGGGAGGGGTTTCAGAATCTTGGCATCTTTCTCGGGTGAGACCACGGTGCCACTCGAGCAGTTCCCGGCGAGTGACTGCGCGGATACTTGGTTCGTGCCCAGTGCGGGCGAGCCAGGCCTCACGTTGGCTGTGTGTGCGTCGGTTTGCAATGTATTTCTGATATAACCTGCCCTGTCCCTTACTTTCCCAACTTGTGTGATTAATGTAGGTTTAACAAAGTTCTCTGTGTAACATTGATACGATAAAATACTGTTATTTATGTATTGCAGTAACAAAAGTATTGTGTTGACTTAAAATTAAAGTTACCGATGTAATAAACGATGTCTAATCGCTGACCACATCGTTGCAGACCTTCAAACAGAAATTACAAAAACAAACTGTCGATACAGTTGCAACTAGAAAAAAAATATTTGAATAAATATTTCGCTGTTTCTGGTAACGAGAAAATTTTTAATTTTGGCGGTTTCCTGCATAATTTCGAATTCTGGTCTTTTGAGCCAAGGGAAATAAAATGTCGGAATTTTGTGTATTTACATTGGTTTGTTCTGAATCTATTTATATCGTTTGCCAATGATTGCACGGGTCCTATAATTTTGCAAGCGTGTCCCCATGGCCGCTACATGTATTGCCAATTGTGACAGCGTATTTACAGCGGTTGTCTTCTTCTTTTGTTCTTGTGATGCGGTGACGTGTATCGTCACAAAATTTTGTTCTTCAGGATAATTTGTTACAGACTAACATTTTTACACATTAGATAGGTACTTAGGTACCTACAAGATATTATAATAATTACCTACTCGATGACAAATATTTTACGATTTTTAATTTCTCGCCTGAACATGAAAACTTTCATTTAGGCCCCAGTTATTGTTTCTATGACCAATTCCAAGTCACACGCTTCCAAGTAGAAGTCACACGATTTTAGGTTACAGGTCACCGCACCACAATATCTACGCATCAACAAAGTGCGAGTCTCACGATTGAACTTGTTGTTGCTGGTGTAGAGTTTGCCCAGCAGGCCCAGCGGTGGGCGTGGAGGTACCAGCATGATGCCCTCCCACCAGAACACCTCCTTGCACTGCAGCCGTCCGTGGCCATCGTCACCTGGTTCTAGGACGAAACTTAGAAGCTGGTCTTATGTTTTATGAAGACCAAAAACTTACAAATCCACATAAAAGAAGTACCCAAAACCAACAGAAGCTTCAAATTAATCACGTCTTTTTTAAACATGTCACCAGTACGTATTTCTGTTGCATCGTGAAAGAATGCGTTTACATACACAAATTATTCCCAAACACGGAACTACCATTTGAAGTTCCCAGGAAGAATTCTACGGGAATCGAACCCACCGCATGTTGTATAATAGTCAGTCGTCCAGTTAATGGTCATACAGTTTTATCTACCGAACCATACAGCATGCTAAAAAACCGCACCAAACTATGAATTCATGAATCAAAAACGAAATTGCAAATCAAAAGTTCTAAAAATACTACTGTACGTACCTCTGCCGACGAGCCGGGTAAGTCTCTCAGGGAACATTAGTTGCGGTGGACGCATGGCGATGATGTCCCGGAACTGGTTGTACAGCTCCATCACCGACGAGTCCATCGCTAGGCGCTCGTCTGGCACGTGCTCGCGGAACTGACAACCCTGGGTAATGGGATACCTAAGTCAATGTTCCTTTTGTGCTTTGAATAGTCCCCATTATCTCGTCAATTCAAGTGCTTATACGTATTTATTAAGGAACAGCTTAATCGACCTAACAGTTTTAGGACGTTGCTCGTCTCTAAGAATAGGTTAAGGAACGCCGACGGCATTGCTAATTATTATCTACACAAGTACACATACACGTCTATCAAAGATGATGAAGATTTCAAGAAGTTACCTGAAATTTTGGTTATTAGAGCTGGAAGTTTCGACTGAAATCAGTCGCTAAGTCAATTATAGATCTTCAACTTTATTAGGTACAAGTAGGACTCAAGGATGTAATATAGGGTTGTACTCACAGTATTCCTAGTGATGGTCTCGAACCGGTAAGCCCTCTCCCCGCAGCACGGGTACCGTCCAGCTGGCAGTGAGGGGCGCCCCTCCAGTGTAAACATGTGCGCCGGCTGCTCGTGGTGGGAACACCATTCCATCTACAATTACCACCCAAGAGTATAACATAACCCTATTAAATAAAGGAGGCTCATAGTCCCGCAGTGGACTGCAGGCTAAAAGCCAAAAATATTCACCCCAATGAGCTATTTCAAAACTAGCGTCTTGTCAAAACTCAAAGAAAAAGCCCATGTTTAGCCAAGAATTCAGTTTTCATCCTCCAGAAGTTTAACAGGACTCTGGACAGTTGCTAGTGGCATTATAAATGTAGATTAGATACAAAAAGTGGTACCTGATAAGCTGGAAAGAAGCTGTCACATAGCTGGCAGCGTAAGAAGTGGCAGTCAGCCCACAGACGCCAATACACGCGGCGCCATGATCGCAGCTCTCCATACAACCAGGTTATGTAGTCATTTAGGCTCCATGACTGATCCCTATAAATAACCAAACATAGCCTTGAATCAGATAGTGACATAGTAGTAGGTAATAAAGCTTTTTAGATCTTAGACACAGAGGTGAGGTACTAGGACAACAGCTGTTAATAGATCGTGCTTACTTGGTGTGAGAAGACACGACATTTCCACGTCGATCAATCCGCATACTGGCGGGCTGACACGGCACCTGCTCGGCGATGTGACGCCCTAGTAGCTTGTTGCATCTGGTCAACCAAAGAGAAGAAATGATTGCAAAAAGCCCATAAAAATATCATAGGTTTTTTTTAAGGGGGGAAAATCATCGAATGACTGCTCCCGCCTGGGTGAGGCGGGAGGGAGTGTCAGTGTCAGTGTCAGTGGGTGGGTAACCTATCAGTACTAATAATAGTTATTTTTTGCTTTTTAGTTTTGACTTTTTGTTAGTTATTAGTTTTTGGTTTTTTGAAGTCGGTTTTTTAAACGCAGTTTTTATTTTATTATTTTATCATTTTCAGTGTAAAGCTACATATACCCGTTTTGTTACTTATAATCGACATAGGTGCAAAGTTCTAATCAATACAAATTATACAAGCCCAAACACAAGGTAGTTACAGTATACCGTTGAGGAGTTCCCTTAACAACTACACTTCTTCATCATCAGACCCTCAATGACAGCCCTACTCTATCTAGGTGTAAAGTCCTCATTAATACAAATTAATCAAGCCCAAACACAACGTAGTTACTGTATACCGTTGAGGAGTTCCCTTAGCAATTACACTTCTTCATCATCAGACCCTTAATGACAGCCCCACTCTATCTAGGTGTAAAGTCCCCATCAATACAAATAATTCAAGCCCAAACACAAGGTAGTTAGTATAAACCGCTGAGGAGTTCCCTCGACTGTCTATCGGCTCCATCATCAGGTCGACTCCAGACCCTTATCAAATTGTAGTGTTTAACAATCCTAATTCAAAAACATAATAGACGCTTTACTCGCCCATAGAATTTTCGAAAGTTCCCCTCGGTTTCCCTAGGATCCCATCATCAGATCCTGACTTCATGGAAATGGGACCATCTCGGGAGTATACCCTTTCAAACAAAACAAAAATTTTCGAAATCGGTTCACAAACGGCGGAGTACTGCGCGAACAAAAAAAAAAAAAACAATCAGCCGAACATAGTACCTCCTCCTTTTTTTGAAGTCGGTAAAAAACCATCCCGTTCCTACTCCTGCACGTCGAGCCGGAGCCCCGGTAACCCGTTAGATTCTCCGCGAACATATCATAGTTATAATTTTAATAATAACATTAGAAGTTTAAATAGAAGTTCGTGAGTTATATATGGCTAACAATATCAGTAAAGTGACTGGCAGAGACTGAGTAATGGAAGACTGAGCTCATTAGGATACCTACTATTGGAGATTTGGAGATGCCTATAAATTCATCTACCAGGTCCAATCGTAACACTACGTTTCATTTGGTCAACCAATTTCATGAAACAGAGTAACCACCATTGATTTTTTGTGACCGGCCGACCTTCAGCTTAACAATCTTTCGGGCTGTATCGGTAACTTTAGTTCTCTGTCAAATCGCTTCGTTTGGGATGCTACATTCATAAAGGTAGCTTTAATTGATATACGTACTTATTGCACTTGAAAAGTGTGGCGAGAGTGGCGTAATGACCTCTGAGGGTCTCCGGCACTGGCTCGGCTAGAGACAGGATCATTTTGCAATATAATCGCGATTGGATCTTATCCTTCCGATCCCTGATGGCTTCCAATTCTGCGTTTGTGTACATCGCCGCTAATCTGGATAAATCAAAAAAATATCTGTCTAACATCAGTCAGTATTATAACATCACGCCTTTTATCCCCGAAGGGGTAGGCAGAGGTGCACATTATGCCACTGTACAATGTAACACCCACTTTTCACTATTTATGTTATGAGTCACATGTAATAGGGGGTGAGCCTATTGCCATATACCGGGCATTTGTCTAAGTATTTCGCACGTAACCTAAATATGTATGTAATTAATGATTTTTTTTAAATTAATTTATCTTTTGACTGCAATAAGTAGGTATCTATTACAACTTTTACTCTTTGGACTATAACAAATCGAGATCCATTGTTTTTTACAACGTGGGTAATATGTATTACTGGGTAAAGGGTTACCTATTAAGCAATGCATCGCTAAGGCACGCTAAATTAGTTGATGTCTTCACGATATCATTCATGTGAGCGTGGCAGTAGATCAGGCAGTCATGTAGCAGCGGCTCCATCTGTATTATTTACCACTTATTTATAATTAACTTTTAACAGAAACACTTTAGCTGTAATTTCCTTTTAATATAATACTTTAATAATAATACTTTTCTAACATTAAAAAAAATCAACTGTTGTTCAGTTCAGCATCTTTGTCATGGAATAGGGGGAAAAAAGTAAGCTTTGTTGCAAGCAATAGAGGTATAAAAAAGGCGATTGTACATTGAATCACGCTTTGCTGCTCTGGAACATTACGAACAGGTACATAATTATAAAAATGTGCGTGTGTACATACCTGTAGAAATGACGCAGACACCAGAATAGGAACCACGTTATGCGGGTCAAGTAGAGGCCAGTCGGCTACCAGAATAGTGTCCCTTTTCACCCAGCGCATCAACCAGTCGAAGATCTAAAATAATGAATGTCCAATGAGGTGACACCAGCTAATTCCCTATTGGACGAAGAACGAGAGGTTCACACTAGCACCATCTGGTGAGTAAAAATACAGTGGGCCCCATTGTACTCACACAGGCTACATATAAAGCTATGCAGAACCATTATAAACTGACCGTCGATTATGCGGAAAGATCATACAAAGACATAGTAACATTACGAGTAGGAGTTTCGTTTAAAAAAGGTCGGGTAAAGTATTATTGGGTGTTGATTCAGATATAATCTCAATCAGGTATTATCTAATACAGAGTACGGCATAACGGTGTGACATTATGTTCTGTATAGTATTTACGCTAAACGACAACTCTTTGTTCTCCAAATATTAGTAGGAGCAAACGATATAAATATGTAGTTAGATTAGACCCAAGATATTCGCAAACTCAACTTTATTTTGGCTAAAGTATGTAATTAAATGAGAGATTTACATTTTCTTTACGATATCGTTTGTATTTATTTACCTGTATATCACAATGTACAGAAATATCCATGTCCTCCAATCTCTGACCCGCAGTGACGTCAGCGAAATAACCCATTTTCGATATTAAAAGTTTTTGAGGACATCTAAAATCCTTTTTGAGGCCTTTCACTTCATCACACACGTGAATTTCTACGTCTCCCCTGAAAACAAGAGTCATAAAAATACCAAAAAGATTTTCCGATACCGGGAATCGAACCCGAGCCTCCTGGGTGAGAGCCAGGTATCCTAGCCACTAGACCATATCGGATGTTGAGAATGAGGTTGAAATAACTATACACAATACACATATTGTAAATTATTTTAAATATAAAAAACTTTTTCATAATAAAAAATCATTATTACATACTTACTCTTGTTTAGTATTATTTCGGTCTTGTGTTATTGTCACAGAAGACTTGCGTCTCCCAAGTCGATCTCTTGAGTCTTTTTCGTCAACGAAACCTTTTTAATATTAAAAAAAGGTAAATTAGACTATTTCCAAAGACACTTCGTATATTTTTTTGTAAATGTTTTTTCATATTTTTTACCTCCAAAACTAGCAGGTTTCTTTACTTCTACTGTAGTACCAGACGGTACTTTCTTTATTATTGGAGTGTAAACACTCGCTGTTTTTGAAGGTTTCTTGTATCCAACCAGGTAAGGCAAAATAGAATCTAAAATGCCTTCGTTCACTACCTGAAATCAAATATTATGTTAAGCTCTATCTATTGGTGTGCTCACTAAACTACATATTCGATAATTTATTGACGTCAATTTTTTAATTGTTATACTCACATCATTAAGTTTGCAGTTTAAATTAGCTTCAGTCCAAACACCGAGCATTTCAACTCTGGCTTCGGGAGGAAACGACCGACGGCGTCCTGATTAAAATAAAAAGTGATAATATTAATATAGTTCTCTATATCCAAACTAGATGGCGGTTACACCATATTTAAGTCAATTTTTTTACGTGCAATGTGATTTCATATTTAGCTTTTTATGAGTTCAAAAACATACTATTTCACAGTATTTGAGTGTGGTATGCATGTGACACACCCCTCTCAAAATTTATGGATCACAAAGAAAAGAGTCTTGCACCATGCGGGAATCGAATCCGCGACATATTAATTATGCTGCCAACCCAATTTACCCAATAATAATACTGAACTAATCAGTCAGGTATGCCATAGGCGCAGCGGTTAAACAACCGGCACGCAACGTGTCGCAGGTTCGATTCCCTGGTAATCAACTGGATTAAAGTTAATACGAATAGGTAACGTTACCTTCTAGTTCACTGCAACTATATCTCTTTTCAAGTCGGTCTTCGATACTCCTTGGTTCGATTGCACACTCACTTTTACTGACTGACGGCTTTGGTTCATTGAAAGCAGTTTGATAAAGAAGGTCGCGTTCCTGTTGCTCTATGACATGGTTGATCACGGTCAATTTCGTCAACTCCTCCCAATCTATCTTTGTTCCTTCATCATCATCACCCTCTAAGTGCTCGTAAACTTGGTACGCTGTTTTCATGAAGTCAAAAAAGTCCTTGACCGTAATTGTTTCAGCTGTCTCGCTGTCTCTGGCCGAGTTTCTTCGAGACGAAGGTTCTGACCGCGACGGACTCCGACTCCTCGGTCCATCGCCCTTTTGCATAAACATTGAATCGGACTCGGGACGTTGACTAGACATTTTTTAAATCACGTTTTACATAACACAAAGAATTTCACCTGTACATTTCGATTTATCGATCTAATAAGCCTCCTAGAAACGATAGCTTGTTATCAAAGTAGGCACTGATTCGTTTCAAATAGGTAAAATACGACGTTGCCGTTGTTGCAAAAGTAAAATTTGTTTTATTTTGTTTTTTAAACACTAAACTTCACACAATTTAAAATAAACTGATACATATGACTCAAAAATATATTATTTCCAGTATGTATTTACAAAATCAAAAAAATCCCGGCATAACCTATTTATTATAATAATTATTGGTTAAAATGACACATTTATTTTTTCAATTTCAATATAACAAACAAGCGAGAAAGTAGTTGACGATAAAGTTTGCATTTAAAAATATTGTCTTTCAGGCTTTTCTTATTTATTTCTTTGTTATGCATTTTTCATCAAATACCGCTCCTTTAAAATCATAGTTTTGAAAGCATTATAAATTCATTAGTGAGCTCAGCTAATGATTAATGTAGGTAGATACTAATGACTAATGGTTAATGGTCAGTAACCTTTAACCTCCCACATGGTCGAAGAATGATTTTAAATTATATTTAATACTGGCAAGGGGAATAAGTTATAGAATATAGCATTTTCGCAGTTTTGACTCAGTCTAAATAAAAATAAAGTTTCAAATTCTGGTAGCACGGCATAGCGCGGTAGGTTTCTTTATTGTTTCGCAAAATAAGTTTATAAATAAAAACCATAGACTAAAATCATCTGTTTCAGCTTAGTGACACGTTTTCTTTGATTCATTTACATGTTTGGCATTCCAAGAATGGCGTACTATGGAATGTTTTCTCGGTATTCTCTTTCAACGTCAACTATTAAGAAAAGGATAGCAATATGGGGCACGTCACAAGTAGAAGTAGAATAGTTAAGTAGGTTGGAATGCAAATTGTTTGTGGTTAGTCTAGTGATATGTCATATCAACAACATTTTCACTGTAATTTTTTGTTGTCCAACAAAGTTATTTAGAATGTTCACGGCTGTATTTTATTATGGACAGCTATCAACCCGAATATGACAAGAACGGAGTATTGTCTGATACATTTTGGAAGACTCCACAGCGTGCGATCCCGGGCAGGCCTTTACAAACGGTCAAACGGACCGAGGTTATGTCTGGGTCATCGTATCAACAATTTCAGGCGTCTGTGAACGACGCCTGGGACCTGGGCGACGACGATATCATATCTGGAATCGCTGAAACTAAAATATCGAAGGCCATATCACAAACTGCTGCTTTGAACGTGATAAATTCGCATAGAAATAGTAGTAGGAACGTAAACAAAAATGACGTAAAAGTTGAGAGTGAGATTGTGAAGCCTAAGGCTGAGGCGGTGGAAGTGAAGAAAAATGAAGTGCGGAAGTTGGGTGCAGGGGGTTCGGGGCCGATGCGGCACTACCCTGGGAGACCGCGGCCGGTGAGACTGTCGGCGTTGACTTCTCGCGAGGAGAGTAGTGAATCCAAGTTGGAGAGGTTCCAGCAGATGCACGATAGCGCCGTCATAGACCTGAATGAACTCAAACAGATCAGTTGGTCTGGCATTCCAGTAAAAGTAAGTACCTAGCATTTATGTTGAATGAGTCATGAAGCTTGTTACGTTGGTTATGGTTACTCCTCGCGTCCTCGCGCGACTATTGTCTGTAGTAACTATTACAAACGTAAGTATCCTTTGTTTTTATTTAAGATGGTCTGATGTTTTATTAATGTTATCTTTACCACAGTTTTACAATACTCCCATAAGATAAGTGGGTATATAATATACTATAGAGCAAAAAAGAGAATTACTAAACAACTAGTAAACAGATTATGGTTTCTGAGTCCATAAATATGTGATAAACATGACATGAAATACAAATATTTTGCTGAAACTACTGACAGAATTATGTAATTTTCCAAATAACATAATAAGATGAACATAGTTCTGAAAAAATTTATATAAACAAGCCAGTAATTAGTTGTCATCTATTTATCAGTAAATATATAATGTAGATAATGCCACATACACCCCCTATTGTTTTGTTTTATAACACAAACACAGATTGTCTCCAATTAATTATACATATGTATCTATACATGGTTATAATGACATAGACATAATTTGGCTTTAATGTTATAAAACAAACAATATTTTAATGTTCCATGTTTCTTCTCAACTGCTAGTCAAGGGGTCTCGAGTAGGATTCCCAGGTCGGGCAAAATATTACTTGTTTTTAATGTTGTGTCTTTCAATGTTAGTGATGGTATAGCACTGTCATCCTGTGACTTTGCCTATAACCCGATAGTAGAATATGGGAATATAAAATAGTGTTTCAATTTCAAATCAGTCCAGTAGTTTGGGTATCATGAAATGCAAACAGACAAACAATCATAATTATTAATTAACTTGTCGAGTACCGGTTTTATCGACACAATTAAAGAACAATAGGTCGCGGTCACCGGTGAGCTCTTGGTGTTTGACAGATTACATGACTTGTTAAGGTTAGCATTGTTTATGTGAGATACATTGTTGAAATAAAAAAGAAACTAAGTAACTATGTCAATGCCATAACTACGTAATAATTATAAGATAAGAAAATGCTACAGGTATTGTCAAAAGAGTACCTATAGAAGTCTGAACAGAAGCATTTATAACATAGAATTTTTTTATCCCTAACTACATACTCTCGTTACGTTTCACCCACTCTGCTTGGTTCCTATTCATCATAGCATAATGTTTTATAGCCTATAGCATTCCTTGATAAACGGACTATTCAGCAGACTAGCGTGATATAAACAAACATATTAACTCGTCGAGTACCGGTTTTATAGACACAATTAAAGAACAATAGGTCGCGGTCACCGGTGACCGCTTGGTGTTTGACAGATTAATAAGTAAATAGATAGTCATAGAAACTTATAGGTTTATCCACAATTCACTAGGAATGCTATTAAGCCTATTGTAATAAAAAGGACCTTATTGTTATTGTAATATAGTTGGAATGTTACATTACAGTATAATAGAATAGAAGCAACAATGTTTTCTACATTGTGAAAGAAAACTTGTGAAATTTTCAGAGATCATCATACTCACTTATGTCACATAAACCTTTTATGAAATTGTCAAAGATGTAACTTACTTATGCTAAGTTTTTACTCTAGACACAGGCATATTACACTACTCAAAGCAGCCTGGCTGCTTAAAATTCAATCATCTTAATATTCAGGTTCTGAGCTCAGCTATATGTCTGAGTCGGGCTGAAGATTTTTGAGTATTTTCAATTCTCAACTATTGTGCTGAGTCTAGAATATTGTACTTGGTGGCAATGGGTACTCTCAATTACATGAAACTCATAACATAACTGGTTATAAGTGAATGTTATATATAATAACTATGTGCATCTTTACATACTACACACTGCGTTGTCACAGACATGAACTAATTATCATGACATTGGTCTGTTTTTGCATAACTATGTGTATTTCTATTTAAGTAATAGACTTAAGACAAGGTTTTAATGCCTCCTCCACACGCTAGATGTTTGCCACACCCATAAATAACAAAGATAATAAATAAAGTCCAAAACATTGATGTGTAGCAAGCATGTGGATTAATGCAAACTGTTTGCCGAACACCCTTTGATCTGTGATCACAAACAATCAAGAACAGGCACACACATAAATACACCCATCCACAAGTGTGTGCATACGGCTTAAGAGTTATCATACTTACTAGAATAACAATTATGAGGTAAATACAACAGAGTATGTGGTAAATAATATAAATATCTTTGTTATCGCCATTAGATTATTGTTTTGTTTTTTTTTAATACGCACTGCGGTACCTAGCCACTCCAATGTTTACACTAATTAGCATAAAAGATAAATAAGACATTAAATTATGTAAAAACAAACTTGAACTTCAAATGAGTTTGCATAAAATTAACATAGATAGTGGTACATAACTTAAGACTTAAGTAATTTTACAAGTTCTTTATGAAAATGTTAGGTATACTTGCAGGTTTTTTAAGCAAAATCTGTAGCAAAATTAGATTACATGACACTATATTGATGTTACATACATTATGTGTCTTTATGAACTTCATTTCATCCTGATGTAACATAATAATTTATGTTATAAATAGCAAAATGGAGGTAGATTAACACCCATCATAATTGTAATATCTCTTCATCATCTAATCTGTTCAGTCTACAGACAACTTCAAGGGTTACTGGAGCTCCAGCTTGAAGTTCCTTCCGAGTGTCAGACTCTTACTGACTCCTGTGAATCAGTAAGAATCTGACACTCTTTCTTGCCTCACCCAGGACGAGAAGAGCCATTTGATCATATACCCCTAAAAATCATCTAATCTATAGATTTTTTATATAAACCAAGTTATACTAACTAAACGAACTATCTTTATAAAGTTCTAAAACCAATAAAAACTCTTTTCTTCAGGCCAGAGCTATAACATGGCGGCTTCTCGCCGGTTACCTGCCTCCCAACGCAGAGCGGCGAGCGGAGACCCTGGAGAGAAAGAGAGCGGACTATAAGCATCTAGTACGGCAATACTATGATGCAGAGCGAGACGACGATACTTACAGACAGATTCACATAGATATACCTCGGATGAGCCCACTTGTGGCTCTCTTCCAACAGATTACTGTGCAGGTTTGTTGATGTTTTGTTTTTGTACTGTTGAAGATAGCGACCTTTATTTGATTTTAGAATAGAAATAAAGAAAAACAGTTGATGGTCGTAATTTAATAACTACCTATTTTTAAAGCCTCTTTGATAAATTGTCATTGTTTAGATTGTAGGCAAAAGCCTATGATACCAAACAACATCCTCAAACCTTCTTGCCTAACGGGTCAGTCGGTTCCTTACTGCCACATAAATGTAAAATAACCTTAGTATTTTTGTGAATCATTACATGTGTGTTGATCAGGTAACTTAATCTTCTCAAGTACAATTAGGAAGTAATAAGAAAGTGCCTTTTAAAAGTCACAAAAACATCACTTAGTATTAAAGTCTAACATTTTGATCTTTCCCAAATTTCAGGTGATGTTCGAACGAATCCTGTACATCTGGGCGATTAGGCATCCAGCATCAGGCTACGTGCAAGGCATTAACGACCTGGTGACTCCATTCTTCATGGTCTTCCTGCAAGAGGCAGCTCCTGGCCAGGAGTTGGACAACTTTCCCCTGGACAAACTGACTGAGGAACAGAGGGACATTATAGAAGCTGACTCCTTCTGGTGTCTCTCCAAGTTCCTCGACAGCATCCAGGATAATTACATTTTTGCTCAACTTGGTATTCAATATAAGGTGAGATCATCTTTTGTATTGATTGCTTATCAAATTCTGGGCATTACCTATTTCAATACATTGATTTGACTTTGGCGTACGATATACGCATAGAAAAACCATTTTGGCATACCCCTTATAAAATGTGTCAGAATTTAATCTTTATGTTAAACGCCATAGGATAAAATATAATATGGGCTACGCTAGAGAAGGATTTGTCCTCGAGTTTTCTGTCGGCAAAGCCTATAAGTAGAATATTTTATATCTGAGAAATATGTAATGACGATAGACATAACTAGTCTAAAATCTTCCATACAATATAATTAAGAAGTCATAATACTTCATCTATATAAATAAAAATGAATTTCCGTTCGTTAGTCTTGCTAAAACTCGAGGTAGGCTGAACTGATTTGCCTAATTATTGTCTTAAAATGAAATGTTCATGGAAGTCCACGGCAGGTTTAAATGGTGTTATTTTTTTAAGGCGGTACGTAGTTAGCCGTGTCAGCTAGTATCAAATAAATAAAATTACTTGGAATTATCATAGAAATCCAGGTCGTCGACTACTAATCAATTAAGTGATAAGCACTGATTATATTCGACGCCGCACTTATGCTGCCTATTCCTCGATTGTAAATAAGAATTAATCAATTAATTAATTATTATTGATAATGAAATATGAATCTAAAAGTTACGCAATACATACGTCGCAGGCAACTAGATAAATTAGCCATTCAATTAACGACCTAGCCTGTTTATTGGTATCGCAGTTCAATTCTGGTAGCTGTTTATTTCTGACTGGCGACCCGCCCCGGCGCGGGTGCAATATGCATGTATTATACATATAAACCTTCCATAAGAATCACTATCTATTAAAGAAAACCACATCAAAATCCGTTGCGTAGTTCTAAAGATCTAAGCATACATAGGGACAGATCTGTCTGTCCCTATGTGTGCTTAGATCTTCTTAGACAGCGGATAGCGACATTTTTTACAGACTTCAAAAAATGGAGGAGGTACTATGTTCGGCTGATTGTTTTTTTTTGTTTTTATACTATGTATTGAAGGTGATTCGAGTTCTAACCTAACCTCCCAATGTGGTGGTAAGTTTGGTTGTAATTACAATCTCTTCATTCAATCAAATGGTTAGTCATTTAGGCCGTTGCTTAAATGTCATATCTGTATGAGTGCTGATTGTGACCGGCAGAAGTGTCAGTTCACTCTTCGTCTCTTCAAAGTCAAATCATTAATTAATGCTTAATTAGGCACTTTTGAAGCGGCAAGAATTGAATTGTCCTTCAATCTGTCTGTCAGTAAAGCTAGGCTAGGCTTCATGTAAAATTGTAGAATGTCATCGATAAATAAATAGGTAATATGCAAATAATTAATTATGCTCTTTTTAATGGCCACCTTTTCATGGGATAAAAAACAGAATTATGATAAAAGAGTTCCGTATTTTTTATCAGAATTCTTCACAGAAAGCAATTCCGTAAAAATATTACGTTTCGTCGAACCGGGTCGTTAAAGTACTAGTAAAAGTACGTAGGCGAAGTTAATCGATTTTCTTAGTGTACACACTGTATTGTTACTACCTGACCTCTCGTAATCGGAATATGATCGCCGTTATGACGTCATATTGCCGATAAGATATGCCAATTTGTGGATCACACACTTTACATACACATGATGCATCACACAAAAAGTTGTTTTCAATTTGAGATTGAAATCTGTAACTTTCTGTTACTGGAGTGTGACAGTACAGTTCTTGAGTGAGTAAGATGAGGAGAAAACTTAACTAAAAAGTTTTTAAGGATCGAAAATCTATTGAAATCGCAGTCGACCAATAACCTCTTGGATTGCGAAATAAATACTGATAATATTTATCTATGGAAAAGTATTATTATTTTAGACTTTAGGCCACCAGCATACCGCGTGAGGGAACGAACCTCCTCACGACCCGGCCGTCGCGAGAGACACTCCGGGCGTCGGGGATCGCGAGACGATCTCCGGCCACCGTAAGCACGGGCCTGCGGACGGCGAGCATGGGTGACTCGCCGCCCGACCAGTACCAGGCCCGAGCGTACGGCGCGTCGCGTTCCGCGCGCGCCTCAAGGAGCTATCAGACCACCACAGATGGGGCCTAACAAGGCTGATGCCGATACGGAGCCGCGGAAGACTTAACGGGTTGCCGGGGCTCCGGTTCGAAGTGCAGGTGTAGGAACGGGGTGGTTTTTAGTCAGTAAGAGTCTGACACCCCCTCCCGCCTCACCCAGGCGGGAGAAGTCATTGGATGATTTTCCCCCCTCAAAAAAAAAAAAGCCCACCAGCATACGTTGCTACACGAACAGTTTTTACTTAGAAATACCAGATAATATAGTAAAACAGTGCTACCAACTTATTTAAAGTTACCCACGTTTTTATTTTAATTATAGCCAATAAAGAACATTAAATAATTTATGGTAGGTTGCTGTGATATGATTGTTAGGGCCTGAGCCTTTAGCCAAACGCCACTTTAGCGCTTGTCTACAGAGAGAGTAGAAAACTAAATGTATGGGGATGTCACTAACAAGTGTCAAAATTTACGTCAATTCCATATCATTTGGTTTTCTATTCTACATGTAGACAAGCGCTAAATGGCATTTGGCTACAGCTGCTGGATCGCCGCTATGTACCAGATTTTAAATTAAGAACGTAATTTGTATGAACTATCGTTTTAACTCTCAAATACTGGAAGGCTAATCAATTTGAAGTAGTATTTAAATATCGTCCCATTACTGTCATTTCGCAAAGAGTTTGTGGTGACAGATCTATACTTCAGCGCGACCTAAAATTGCCTTTTAACTCGTCGAGTACCGTATTTATAGACACAATTAAAGAACAATAGGTTGCGGTCACCGGTGACCGCTTGGTGTTTGACAGTTTAATATTTGACAAAACTGTCACATAAGGTTATCGGGTACTTATACGAAGGTGGTGTAATAAGGCGCCTAGTGAACGGTGTGACCTTATTGAGTTTGTACAAAAAATATTTTTTAAGTTCATGTTTGAATAGGTACAACTAATGATGAAAAAGTATTGAAGGCTGTGTTCATTTTTTGTTTAATTGTGTGTGCTGTTCAATTACAATGTTGTTTACAAATTAAATCAATAATTAGGTAGTTTCCTGATTCAAAAATAATTTAATTTGATTTTTCAGTCCAATTAAATAATAAAAAATAATTACGCTTTCATTCATTGATTTGCCGATATACTTAATTTTCGATTTATACTGGCTTTGTTTTTAGATATAAGTGTGCTATTTGACGCGAAAATATGATGACGTCATAAGTAGGGATTTCGTACAAAATTCATAGAACAATATCGTTTTTGACGTTTCGATAAAAGTATTGAATTTGACTAGTCGTCAACTACCGTATTGACGTTTCTATCTACAAAATAGATACACTGCATTGCAACATTCAGCCTGTATACTGTAACATATCGTAGTGAAAAGGTTGCATAAGGGACGACGTACTCCATTCTAGACCGCATCATCGCTTACCACCTGACGAGATATTGGTAAAAAAAAATCTCTTTGGAGTCATTTGTTTATAAATGGAATGTTTTTAAAGGATTCTGATACGCAATCGGCGCTACCTATGAAAACCCGCAATACCAGAGCAGTTACAAGTGCGTTATCGGTCTTTTGGGGGTAGGGACTTGGGGATGGGAACGGAGGTCTCGGTAAGCTCACTCACACGTGGAAACATAACGCTTGGGTTGTCTCACAACGGTTTTTTTGTGAGGCCGTGGTATCACTCCGGTCGAGCCGGCCCATTCGTACTGATGCATGGCTCTCCCACTGCTTCCATTAGTGCAGATTAATTGGGAGGATGACAGGGTATGAAAAAAGATTAGACACGGGTTTTTTTTATTTTGTCGTATAAGAAAACAATACTTAGATAAAACGAATTAAAGTTTAGGAGTGGTAGCCAGCTACGTCATTTTTGAGTATAAATCGTACTCAAAAGTGATGTCATGCGATATTACAAATTAATATATCTTCGAAACTATTCGTTTCCGTAAAAAAATAAAAATTACGTGTGTCTAATATTTTTTCATTACCTAACTGACGGACTAATTAGACTAATGTTTTTAAATAATATCGACAGACGGATATTAAAATAAAAATTAGTCATCTACCCTATTGTTTTGTTGTTTGTTTGATCGCGTGGTTACCTACTGGTCGTGATGTTTTAGATTCCATCCAAGTTAGTACAGGCATGGACAATAGACTCGTCCACTATAACAATAGGAATAGCGACTTACTGCCCGAATATTAATTAAGAATTAGCATACAAAGTACAAACCATACTTCATTAGTTTAAAAATTTTAGTTTTAATGGAGTATCGTGCATTATGCATAACTAGCGACCCGCCCCGGCCCCGGCTTCGCACGGGTGCAATATGCATGTATTATACATATAAACCTTCCTTAAGTATCTATTAAAAACTACCGCATCAAAATCCGTTGCGTAGTTTTAAAGATTTCACAATAGTAGTTTTAAAAATTTAAAGAGTTCATATAAGCATACATAGGCACAGACAGACGGCGGATACCGACTTTGTTTTATAGTATGAAGTGATATACAATTTAATACATTTTATTATGTTTTTGTAACCATTTTTGTTAACATTTCTCATCATAAATTCAATATACAATACAAACGTATTATGCATAGTTATGAGAAAAGTTTACAATGGCTTTTGTTATTGTTAAATGTAGTGACCTACGAAATATTCTAGATTAATAATGCATTCATTAAAAGTATGTTAGTCAAGCAACTTACCTTGATTTAATTATACTATAGAAATTGGGTATTTAAATACCGTTTTGCCTTTAATTCCCGAAAGGTTGAAAAGGGATAAACGCACATAGACAATTTAAGTAATACATACTTCTGCCTCGTTGGCCGTGTGGTCGCAAGTGCGACTGTCGGGAATGGGGTCTCGGGTTCGATTCCCGGGTCGGGCAAAAGTATTACGGAGTTTAAAAAAATCTCAGTAATAACACGGAGTCTGGAATTGTGCCTGGTATACGACAATAGGCTCACCCCCTATTACATGGGCCTCATAACATATATATAGTGAAAAGTGGGTGTTGCATTGGCATATTTTAGGTACAATTAAGTATGGGAGAGCCATGCTTCGGCACGAATGGGTCGGCTCGACCGGAGTGACCACGGCCTCACAGAAAACCGACATGAAGCAACGCTTGCGTTGTGTTTCGTCGTGTGAGTGAGATTACCGGAGGCCCCATTACCTTCCCCTTCCCCAATCCCTGAATCCCCAACGATCCTCAAACTCCTAATCCCCAAAAGGCTGGTAAAGCACTTTTTTATGGCATAAACCGGTAAACGACCAGACGGATCACCTCATAGGTAGGCAATCGGCGTCGCCCATGGACACCTGGAACACCAGGGGCGTTACAAGTGTGTTACTTGTAACGCCTCTGGTGTTCCAGTTTTCCGGCTTATACCATAAAAAAATAATAAAAAAACAAGGTATTGTAGGTAATTTTTTTTATTAGGTTACTTAAGATCGGTGACATGGTTCAACATAACTAAATCACAAGTACCTAGTGTTTTAACTGGTAGAATTGTTAACGACGGGTTGAAATTAATGTCCTCGTTAATTTTTGGTAGATTGATGTTACAATCACCAAGATTATGTAATATTTAATTAAGAAACTCGTTGCACTGTCACCACGTGCATTGCAAAGCTTGCCATCTGGGACTTAAATAAGAAAACTATGATCCAGTTTTCTTATTTTTGGTGTTTTGTTAAAATTACGCATTACTTTTATAGGGTACTTGCTACTTCCGTGCAGTTTCACACGCTCTGCTCAGTTCCTATTGGTCATAGCGTGATGTTTTATAGCCTATAGCTATCCTTGATAAATGCGCTATCCAACACAAAAATAATTATTCAACTTGTAGTTGTAGTTTTATCCGACTTGTAGTTACGGAGATTAGCGCGTTCAAACAAAAAACAAACTCATCCGCTTTATATAATAGTATAAGATTAAATGAGAATTAACGTAAAGAACCCAAATATGACGAGGATCTACTATTCAAATCATTGTCCAGAACATCAGAAATAACAAAAAAGTATAATAATATACTTTTTACTATGTCGTTCAGCGACACACGTGCACCAAACACCGCACCCTTGTTTACCGACTATACAAGGAAATAGATACGGCTACCATTTTCCTTGATCACCAGCCTCTAATTGGCTGCTATCATTCCGCCATATTGTTGTTCCATGTTTAAACTATATGCGTCATTGGCTGCATATAAAACAATTTAATAATATTTTGTACCCAGGAAAATGATAGCGACGAAAATAAACAATAACAGGCAAATTTTATATTTATGTGGTTATACACAATTAGACTGTGTTCTGGTTAATTAGACTTGGTGTGGAATTATATGATCTAGTTAAAGGTGGTATAAAATGTTGCCTATGTGTTTTTCCAGACTATAATATACCCTTGCTCCTAATTATACCGACCTCTTCAGCCTTTTTGACATGAACGAGTAATAACAAAGAAACATCCAAAATTTCGCATCTATATCTATTTTATTTATACATATTTATATTTATACATATAATAAAATCGTAGAAAAGTCAAAAATGTACATTTTTTTTAAGAATACTTGAGGCGTGATCTACAATCGACACCGAAGCCAAAAATATGGTTTTTAAATTTTTTGTCTGTTTGTATGTATGTCCGGGATGATCTCCAAAAGTACTGCATGGATTTACTTCAAATTTTGCATGAATATTACTAACAGGTCGGGTCAACATATAGGCTAGATATTATCACGCTATCATCTACGGGGGAGGAGCTGTGTATCACAATTTCCCGCGAACGAAGTCGCGGACAACAGCTAGTCCATATTAGGATAATGGGTTGAAAAGAAGTTGCTGGATACTTGGTTGTTCTAACCGGTTAGTCTGCTTCCAGACTCCCTTAATATCTTCATATTAAGGGAGGTCTATGTACAGCAGTGGACGTGTTGTGGCTGGTATGATGATGATGGCTTGTCTACGTGCGGGTGACGCCTCTGGTGCGTCGCCCCTTTGCACCAATTGACCTGTAAGGGGATCACCACTTCATGCTTCAATGACACTAATTTTACCAAACCAACTGTGAACGTAATATCAAAGCTAAGCTACTGCTTATCCTGCATGTTAATTGTCGAATATCCGTTTATCTATAAATAGGATAGGACTCATGTGTATTATCATGTGCCTTAGGATGTATATTGTGTTAAGTTGTGAAAATTTTATAGAAATGTGTATTATTATCAAAATTGCACTGTATTTCATACCGACCAATCAGCGTCTGACAATCTTCTCTTTATTTCCAGGTGAACCAACTGAAAGAGCTGATACGTCGCATAGACCTTCCGCTACACGAGCACCTGCAGACCCACGGCGTCGACTACCTGCAGTTCTCATTCAGGTGGATGAACAACCTCCTTACCAGGGAAATACCACTTCCTTGCACCATTCGTCTTTGGGACACCTACCTCGCAGAGTCTGACGGGTTCGCGACCTTCCAACTATACGTTTGCGCCGCCTTCCTCCTTCATTGGAGAGAGAGGCTCATGCTAGAAAGAGACTTCCAAGGCCTCATGATACTCCTACAGAACGTCCCCACACAAAACTGGACCGACTCTAACATTAGTGTGCTGGTGGCTGAAGCTTACAGGCTCAAGTTCGCGTTCGCGGACGCACCGAACCATTTACACAACGCCGGCAAGTCGGACAGATGACCTGGCAGGTAGGCTGGTGTACTCTGCTGCAGTCGCGGAACGATGTCTACGTATATGAGAGGATCACACTGCAACGTCATTATCTATTACACGTATTATTCATAAACGCATCATACCTATCTTACATTTTGTCTGTCAAACACAAAATGTACAGCCTATGAATAATGCTATAGTGTCCCATTTATAAGATCAAGCTTCCACAAGGGCACTGCGTATCAATCAAGTGGCCTGTTAGTAAGAAAATATATAAAAAAACAAATACGCGTTGACGCTGTGATGTATAGAAAAAGGTGATAAAATACAAAAAAAATGAGAGTTCGTTTGTCTTTAGGTGACCATAGCTACGACCATTTTAGGCTAGGATACTAAATAAGAGATTTTTTAGAAAAAAAATGTCACTTATACTCATAGACTTCATTCCGTGACGTAATCGACCATATTGACATTATCAGCTTGTATACAATTTTGGATCTTATGTAAGGCGTAATACAATGCAAAGTGAGAATGTCAAGCCGACTGTGTGATCAGGGTAAGGGAGTATTCGCTACACATAGTCTTGTGCTGAATTATGGAACACCTGGATTCGAGGGTGACTTATAAAAACTTCGCCAACTGTCTATGTAGCATTAAATGTTTGAATATTGAGGTCCTATGTCGTTATATTATATGTTTATTATATTGGATGTTTTGTTTTCTGACAAATAGACATTGTGATTTAATTGTTGCTGTAGTTATTATACCAACAAATATTATATAATAAAAAAAAGGTTAATGAGCTCTATTCTACCAACCAAGCCCTTTCATTTGATATCCAGTATGGAGGCAGTCGTGGAAAAATATAGATTAGGTATATTGTATGGTCATCAAGATTAAGAGTGTATCGGCTTGTCGTCAGAAAGGGTATAAAAATCCAATTACTAACTAACAAACAGGGCAAGCTAAATAAGATCGTTTAATAATAATAAAAAGGTCTCTTTTAAATATTGATTTCATCGTCGGATGACTTGGGCATAGTATAAAGAACACAGTAGGTTATCTAAGGCCGCCCGCCGAGTTATTAGCCTACTCTTGCGTTGATCCCCAGGGTTGTCACTTTTACTTTTAGTTAATATTTTCGAACAAGCAGCACTTGATCTAAATTTATGAAATGAAAAGCATATTATGATTGAATATTTTATCAATTTATAAATTTAGTAAAAATTAAAAGCTTATAAAAAGATTATTAACTTCTTAAAATAAACTTTAGCTCTATACATAGTATTCAGAAAGTAAATTTGGGAATACGTAAATATGGAAAAATGCGACTCGGCTACGCTCTTAACAAATCAGATAAACTGTGAAATAAACAATACAATACCACATTTTCTTATAATATTTAAGTATAGTAGGTAATTACATTTCTGGTTGAGTAGGAACTATGAAGAATGATAAGAGTAAGAATAAGTAAGTAGGTATCTCATCATCAAGTACCTACAAATTATATTATGCTAGAAAAAGTGACTAGCTTACCTTTCCTGTTCAATAGGTACCTAATCTAAACAGAGACAGTTCTGGAATCGATTAATTATTAAGACACCCAAACACACAGCAATACGTTCTTCTACGGTTATCAGACATTTTTTATTTCATTGAACAGTGCCGAAAAGCCGTGAAGCGCGCGCGAACCTCGTACAGTGTCAGCCCTGCCTGGCGCACTGAGAAACGGGTCGAGATTTTGTTAAAGTGTGCGTGCGTCGACGCATAGATACTATGGCGCACACATATAAGCCGCGCGCGGAGCATTTGTATGAAGATAACCTACTTTGTTCTTTATACTATGACTTGGGGATCTTCAAATTGTAGAATTTATATGTATATGTATTTTCGCGGATGTTTCATAGTTTATCACAAGACACCATAATAGCCACTATCTAGATTTTGTAGTTGGCAATCAATTCGCCATATTGTTTTATAACGGCCTAATGATTTAAGTTAATTCATATTTTGTGGGACAATATAATTGTAACATTAATTTTATCCTTCTATGCAACAATTATCGACATTTTAACGAACTTTTTCAGCTACATTAACTAATTTTAAACTCTATTTCGCTATACATAAAACATAATATTTATGTTAGCTGCACTAAATACCGAAAATATATTTTTGCTTTCAACGTTATCTTTATGTCGTGGTACTAGAACTGAAATTCGGTTGATTAACTGTAAATAAGAGTTGTTTAAATGTAACAGATATATTATTTAAAATGCACTCACTGTTTGTTTATTGATTTTATATTTTAGTGAGTCTCACCCCCTATTACATGGGACTCATAACATAAATAGTGAAAAGTGGGTGTTATATTGTACGATGGCATTAAGTGCACCTCTACTTACCCCTTCGGGGTTATAGGCGTGATGTTATGTTATGTATTTGAGTGAGATCTGTAAAATATACTGTCATTGCTGTTTTACAACTATCTTAAATGTGTTGCGTACTTATTTGAACAGATAATTTACTTAAGGCATAGTTCTAACTCACCAAATTCTCCAATCAGAATCGACTAATAAATCTCAATCTTGATTGGTTCGTTTAGATGCTTTAAATAATAGCGACCAATCAGAGTCGTCGAATATGGAAAACTTTGATATTGTGTGAAGGGTTTTTTTAAACAATGTTATATTTTGTTGCATACAATTTATGTTAAAAAGGCAGCTCACGGCTGGTTAGGGCGGGTTACACCGTGCGATCGAATTTAACTGTTAATTACGATTTATTTTCTTATGTATGAGGTCGCAGGCATCTGATTCGAAAACGAATAATTGTAAAAATGTGTTTTGTAATGTTCGCTTGTACATTTTCTCACAAAGAAGTGAAGTATTAAGCACTATGTTTATTTTTTAGGGATTAGTGTATTAAACTACGTTTTATTTGTGTCATTTACACAGGTCTATTTAATTGTCTGTCATAATATGTATTGCTTTCAGTTTGAAGTAATATTTATTTGATAAGTTCAAATTAATGGACAGTTGGACTAGCAATTCAGTTGATCTTTGTAAGTTAAACTATGACGTAGTTATAGCAAGTATGTAATAAACGTGTTTAAGTTAAAAAGCAGGTTGTCTTATTTAATTTATAATATTGGGGTCTCAAAAATGTAATACTTAAATGTTGCTGCTAAGTAAATAGAAATTGTAACCGACCACCGATTTAATCGACGTTAAATGATCCTCCTTACAATGGTGTAACCCGCCCCTTGTAAAATACTTTATATTTTTGTTTTTGTGACCTCTTTTATGTACTATTTGATTTTATTACTACGTTATTTTACTTAGATTATTATAGCATTATACATTATATATTTAAGATGTGTGTTTTGCAGATGCAGATGAATAAAATTGAAGTTTCTGTTTGTAATATTAAAATAACTGCTTTTTACTACATCCTATGAGTATACATACAGTACACATATGATTTTTTATTGTTTGTCTGTTTGTACTGGTTAATCTCTGGAAAGGCTGAACAGATTTTGCAAAACTTTTTCAATAAAAGTCTTGTAATTTAGGCTATTTTTATTTTGGAAAATTGTAACAAAATATAATTTATGTTCTTAAATTCGTATTCTACGTGGACGAAGTCGCGGGAAACAAGGGCAAAGGGTCCTTGCAGGTACAATTTGAGAATTACTTATGTTGGTTGAAATGAAGACTGCATTTTCCGGAATTCTTTGCCAGCGTCTGTGTTTCCTCAACATAACCTGGTTTAAAAGTCCGAGTTACTAGGTTGCTTATTTATCGCTTGCCGTACTCCATCATCGTCCATCGTTTATATTTTTATATCATTGGATAACGGCCATTTCTGATAACTACCTATAAAAGATTTTCCAACTACTATAATTCACAGGATTACAGGAACTAAATGAAAAGCACATAAAGATGCTTTGCAGTAAGCGTTCACCAGTGGTAATTGGTAAGTGCTTAGATCTAGTTTAGGTACAAAGGTTGAATTTAAATACGAACGCATTTGTGTAAATATTTCATACTGACCTACACATACACATTTCACTACAAGTAGAGTTAAACATAACAATTACGTACTTGATCATCTAATCAAAAAAAGGAAAAAATAAAACAAGTATAATTTCAAGCGCCTAGACCTTTCTTTATAATTTAAAGTAACGCTACACGAAATCTTTGACGTTTTTGCCGCAAAATTATTCGAAGGGGCAACATTAGGTGGCCCTCCCGACTGCGCAAGTCCAACCCTGGCTATGGCCTTCACCTAGAACTTGACATCCCAGAATCTCGATGTTATCACGATAATCCAGGATTTTGATAAACAAATAATCAAAACAAAATGACATGAGTTTGTTAAAACCTATTCGACAGTTTCATACTTAATTAATACTGTGGTTTCATAAGTTTCGTGAATAAAACAATATGAATATGATTTACTTTGAGAGGAGTGCTGAGTATCTGAGGAACAGTGACCTTGACCAAGATATTGAGAAGGTATTACAGTGCACTTTATTGATCTAAGGGCCGATTTTTCCAATGCCAGATTTTTATTGGAGGTATAATTTTGAATATTTGATGTCTACAGTTCAGAATTATCTGTTGATTGGAAAATCAGCCCTAAGAATTATTCATTTATTGTCACATTTTTTCACTTTGTAATAACTATGACCTTGTAGATACCTATTTAAGAACTTAAATCGAAATTTCTACTCGACTCTCTTTTTTAATTTAATAAACAATAAAATCAAAGATTTAATGTCGTAAACCTGACCATGGTCTATAATCTATAATGGCGAATATTTAACACGAGTAGGTATCAAAATAGTCTGAAATATAATAAATAGGTCCTGTTAATAGGCATCCACGATTTATCCTTTGACGGGATTTTCCAAAACATGGTACAGTAATTCTAATTGTGGTTTTCCTCGCAATGATAACTTACCTAATTACATATATAGGGACTTCGTTTATTTGTTATTACAAAATTAATAATAGGTAGTTATT